GAGTCCCGGGATCGAGTCCCGCATCGGGCTCCCTGCTCGGCGGGGAGTCTGCTTCTCCCTCTGACCCTCCCCCCTCTCATGTGCTTTCTCTCTCTCATTCTCTCTCTCTCAAATAAATCTTTAAAAAAAAAAAAGAAGATTAGCTTATAAAAAGTAGGATATGAAAATAAAAGTGAGAGCACTCTAAGAATATCAGGATGAAGTCAATCTTCCTTTGAATTTTTCCTACACACTAATCTTTGGTTGCTTCCAATCTACTCTTCCATTTACTATATATTCTTTTTATTAGAAACCTTAGTTCTCCATTATCTATTTGGTTAAAAGTGAAGGCTTCGGTTCAATTTTACCTGATGGTGTCATTCCAGTGGAATTTCTTTCTTGGTCCTATGACACGTTTCCCTGGTTTCTCATCATCATCTTCCTCGGATCCATTTTTTTCTCGTTCTTCATCTGTTTGTAACCTAAAAATGAAAAAGATTTTATGAAGCAGTTTTATTTTTTTTTATTTTTTAAAGGTTTCATTTACTTATTTGTCAGAGAGTGAGACAGAGAGCACAAGCAGGGGAGAGGCAGGAGAGGGAGAAGCAGGCTTCCCGCTGAGCAAAGAGCCTGATGCGGGACTCGATCCCAGGACCCTGGGATCACGACCCGAGCCGAAGGCAGACACTCAACCGATTGAGCCACCCAGGCGTCCCATGAAGCAGAGTTTTAACCCAGCAGTGCCTATGATATGCTCCAGAGACACCTGTTAAAATGCTTAACTGAATGTTAACTCAAAAGGGAAAGTAAATGGGGAATCTATCTTTATACATAATACTTTGAAATGCATTATAAAGTGGTTTGGTAAATAAGGTCTTCAAACTGTAACATAAGGCCATGAATACTTACCTTTCGGTTCAGAAAATATTTGTGTCCAACTTCAGCCAGTCAAATTGGCTGACATGTGAAATGTCTGACCAGTACCACAGCTCTTGCTAGGATCACACCCACACACTGGATCAAGAGACCTTTTGCTTCTGACACCAAAGCAACTGAATAGGGAGTGTTGTGTCATTTAGAAAATACTCCATTATACCATTTCAGTGGTATATGTGGATTTCCACTTGGTGAGAACGTCTACACAAGACCAATCCTTAGGAGCTAAAAATACTTCTCAAATGCAAAAGCCGGTCCAAAGAGAAGAGGTACATACTTGGCACACTTAGCTTGACTACGAGCTTGGCAGTCCTCCTGGTATTTAAATAGCTGTTCAGGCATCACGTTGCTAACAGCCAGTTTCAGTTTCTGCAGAGGTTCTCTTAAACGATCATCCTGAGGAAAAAATATACTACAAGTTTTTTAAAACACATTTACAAAAATTAAAGCAGATCCACAAAAGACACTGATTAGGGATTTGAAATGTAAACATATTTTTTTAATGTAAACATATTTAAATGCAGACACTTCTTCTACCACACTGACTTTTCATAATGCATACTGGATATAAAATTAGGATGACCATACTTTGCAGGCAATCAATGAGAATCCCAGTTTTTGCTTGTTACCCCAGCATAATTAATAGTGTTCCTTACACTTTTTTCTTAAAAATTTTTTGAGTTTAGTTGACACACAATGTATTCCTTTACATTCTTAAAAATGTCCCAGCCAATAAATTATATGGACACTTTAAGATTAAATAAAACAAAATCTACATTGTGCAGACTACTGCTGGTTGATACCCATTATGGTGGGGAACCAGTACCATAAGAGAAGATATTGCTTTGCAACACTGGAACATAGGATTTGGTCTGGGTGACTACCAACAGGATGTTGACATCCTGTTCTGTCATTTATTGTTCCTAATTGTGACTTATGCTGCAAGCAAAAATGCAAGGTCAAGGCCAAAGAGAAAGAGGAAACTGGAAGACTCTTGCTATTTTCATACATACCAATTAATAAATATTATTGCACATATGACAGTGTCTGCTATAAAAACTCCATTAAAAGAAATGTGAACATCCAGTATCATGGTTCCTAGGTGATCACTTCGTAATTACGTAGCTGAGACTATCTGTCTGGGAACAACCCAAATATCCATCAACAGTAAAATGAATGAACTGGGATATATTTATAGCATGGAACACCATACACACTGTACGGCAAATGTACTCCAAAAATGGAGTTCACCACATGTAAAGACATAGATAAATCTGAGGTGCATAATGTTCAGTGTAAAAAAGCAAGCTGCAAAGTATGGAGACAGTATGACTCCATTTATATGAAGCTCAAAAATATGCAAAATCAAACAGTATAATATTTAGGGATTACAAGTACACATGATAAAACCAGATAAAGAAAAGCAAGGGCTAAGACAGATGTCTTCTTCTATAGCCAAAAGGGATATTAAATAACTCCAAACATCAAATCTGAAATGTTCCTTAGAAAATATCTTATAATGTATAAAAAGTTGTTCTCTTGCCTCTAGATCCTTTTTTACTGGTACCCATTTCTGTCATGTGATGGTACGGACGTAAGCTCCAACTGTCAGTGTCTGAAGGGGCCAGGCACAGACACAAAATCTGTGACCTCAAGTAATTTCATTTACTTCTCTGCTTTAAACTGACAAAGAATTCTCAATTCAAAAGAATTTTTTTTTTTTTTAAAGAGAGAGAGAGTGGGTGCATCCAAGCATGCAGTGAGTTGGGGAGGGGCAGAGGGAAAGGGAGAGAGAGAATCCTGAGCAGACAGATTCCATGCCCAGCGCAGAGCCTGACAAAGGGCTCAGTCTCACAACCCTGAGATCATGAAATGAGCCAAGACCAAGAGTCAGAACTATTTTATTAACAGTTGTATAACACAATAAATAATTCTATGTCTCTCAGATCACATCACTAGTGGTCCAGGGCACCACATTCATTCCGCCATTAGAGCCATGGGGGGCCTTGGACAGCCATGTTGTGCTATGTGACTCCCAACCTCTGGCCAGAAAAATTTTGGTTGACTCAAGATAGTATAATCAGATTTTCTGACCCAAGAACTTGGATTGGGATGAGAGGACTGAGTCAGTCTGTGTGTGTGGCTTTTCTGTGATATAAAACCTTGAGAATACAGCAATCGTATTTTCAGATGCACATAAAAGGATAAAAATGAGACACGGGGATATGGGTAGAGAGAAACAAGAGTTAATCCAAATTATCAGTTCCCTTAATTCCATGAAATACCTTTATTGATAGAAAAAAATGTTCTTTTTTGTCTTAAACTATTTAAGTTCTTTCCCATTACTTGCAAGTTATAAATATTTTAAAAATATATAATCAAATAAATCATAAAGGGAAGAGTAATCAGGACAGTGAAGGTACTAAAAACCATTTTACATGAAGTGAAGAAGGGGACATAATACAAGCTTTCAAAAACATGAAAGCTGTGAAGGTGACAAATGATTAGATTTATGAATGGACTCAAAGGTAGAATTAGGACCAATGGGGTGGAAAGCACCTGAATTTGTCCCAGTGCATGGAAGAATTTTCTGATATTACAATGAAATATGTTTCTGACCACAGGAAGCATTCAAACTTGGACAATTACTTATGGGATGGTAGCGGAGGAGAATCTAGCAAAACATGGATGATTACACCAAAAAATCTCTAAGTTTACATGTAACCCTGTGATTCTTTCCACTGGTTTGTATAATGTGGGTGTGAACATATCTGCATAGATCCATTTCAGTAATAAAAAAACTGAGTTATAAATCTGTCAGATATTTGTTGAGGGCAAAGTTGTGTCAGCTGTGGAACTGAAGTTAATTTACCAGTCCAAGAATCTATGCCTTAGAAAACATTCTCATCTAGATTTATTAATTGTTGAAAAGTAAGTTTTTTTCAAGCGATCCAATGTGCCTTTGGTAACTCCTACAGTTATTCAATACATACAATAAGACTATAAAGCAACTAACATGCCAAAGCCCCAAACAGAAACCAGTTTCTTTAAAGGCCATAAAACCTCAGATACGGATAGGATTTTCCTTCTCTCACCTGGACGTTGAGATGTAACTTCTTTAGACGTTTTACCAGTGTTTCTTTATTACATGGCACAAAAGCTTCAAGATGGGAGTAGACACCACTACGAATGCCAGGGCCTAGTTCCTGTAGCTGTAACTCAATGCTGAACAAAAACAACAAATAAATAGTACAGAATTTCTTTCAGGTACCGATACAAGCAAGGAGGCAAAGGCAGTGCAGTGACTCTTCTTTCGTTTTATCTTTGCATGATTTCCTAGACAGTATTTTTCAAGGAGAAAATAGAGAGAGAATTTATATAACCATAAATAAACTGGTGAATAATTTTTTGAAGAACAGGGGCAAAGTCTACATTTTTGGATAAAACATAGGAACTCTACTAAAAGCTCATTTCCTCAAAGAGATATTCATATCCTCTCTCCCCTATTGCAACTGCTAAGCTAGAGAGTTACACAGTTTCGATGAATTTAGAATATTTTTTCCTTACAGGTGTTTGAAAAAATTGCAGATTTGGAAGAGGTGAAGCCCTTCTGGCTACAGATACAGACTGTTTTTCATCCATCTTTGTCTCCATATTGTGCCTGCACTGCACAAACTAGATATTTAATAGTCTGTTCAATTTATTCCAATTCTTCAGTTCCTGTTTCCGTTTGTAAATTAGTTTTTTTAGACCAAAAATAAGTTGTTAAATGGGTATTTAACTTAACAGTTATTTAAAAAAAAAAAAAAGGAAAAGAGTTTTAACAGCCGCCATATTCTCAGCCAGACAAGTCTACTAATAAATAATTGAGGTTTCTTCCAAGATGGAAGACACTGTACCTGGCAAGTGCTATTGTAGAAAGATAGGAACAGATGTTAATTTGAAGGCCAAGACCAAACTGGGGCTCTTGGCAACAAACTACGTCCAAATCATCACATTCTCTTACAGAAGAAGGGGCAGATAGATTTAATAAATAATTTTCACAAATAGAAGATGAATCCAAAGATTCAATTAACAGCTTTTGGGGAAGAAAAGAAGCCCTCCCATATCAAATATGTCCCTCACCTACAAGATACACTGTAATTTCAGAAACAACGAAATGTGGAAAACTATGCTCTTAGCACTGGCAATAAAAATTCTTGGTATTAGAGAAGTCAAACACATATACAAATGGAAAAATGCTTAGAATCCATAAGAACCAGAAGGTCAAATGCAGAGGATCATAAGGGAAACAATTACTACTGTCATGAGTTCTGTGTATAAACATTTGGTTAAGTAACATTATGTGTGGATCTTAATTAAAAGTCTAGACTCTGGGTAGGGGGCTTTCTAGGCTTACCCCGTTATTAAAGATTAGTTGCAGCTGAAAATAAAACAGAAACTCCAAGTAGTAAGAGAAGTAAGAACAGAGTGACTCAGTGACATAAAAATCAGTGGTTTCCAAAGAGGGGGGGAAACTCAAAAGCACAAAGAGCTGACTCCCTGCTCCTAAGCCAATCAGAGAAACGTTTTAACCCTAAAGGTTACGGATTGTATCAGTCTATCACAAACATAAACAAATTCCTACCTGAGAACAGTATAATTTAAGCACCCATCCCTCACACATTTAATTTTTTTTTTTTTCCCTAAGAATTCCAATCTTCTAAGGTCTAAGAAGTACCTAAAACACACAGTAATGAAAAGTTTGAATTTCAGTTATTTTCACATTTCAGGGAAATAAAGTTTCCCCTAAAGCAACAAACTTTCCCTGAGCCTGCCTCCTTCTACCCACCAGGTTCTTTTGCTTCTTTAAGGGAAGTCTATCTGCAAAGCAGATATCCATGCATGAAAGTTATGATGGATGGGTCTCAAACCTCTGATAATAGATTATGAACGTGCGATCACTACAGGCTCTAAATGGATAAAAATATACTGGGACCATCTGCTGATAATGCATTAGAGGACAAACACTGGACTTTGTAAATAAATAAGCTTGAAACCCACTATTATATCCATATATATATATATATATTTATTTATTTATTTATTTAAGATTTTTATTTATTTATTTGACAGAGAGATAGTGAGAGCAGGAACACAAGCAGAGGGAGTGGGAGAGGGAGAAGCAGGCTTCCCACCAAGCAGGGAGCCCTATGCAGGATCACGATCTGAGCCGAAGGCAGACTGCCCAACAACTAAGCCACCCAGGTGCCCCTATATCCCTATCTTTACAAGGGCTCTCATTTGCCTCTGAGGAAGCCTCCAAGAAACGCAACATAGGAATCCCTAGCTGAAGCAATGGTCAACTTTATAAACAGGATTCTTCTGGCTCAGGAATACTTAGTCTTACCTGCATTTTCACACAGAATTTTAGAAACAGTCATTTCCCCATAGTTGATATAGGACTTATTTTCCTATCCCATCAACTCCCTCTTTTTATATTTATTTTTTTAAAGTTAAGCTCTACACCCAATGTGGGGCTTGAACTCATGACCCCGAGATCAAGAGTCACATGCTCTACCAACTGAGCTACCCAGGCACCCTTCTCCCTCTTTTTAAAAAACAGAATATTGGCGGGGCGGGGGGGGGGGGGGGGGGCGGCGCCTGGGTGGCTCAGTCGTTAAGCGTCTGCCTTCAGCCCAGGGATCAAGCCCCGCATCAGGCTCGCCGCTCCGTGGGAAGCCTGCTTCTCCCTCTCCCATTCACCCTGCTTGTGTTCCCTCTCTTGCTGTCTCTCTCTGTTAAATAAATAAAATCTTAAAAAAAAAAACCAATATAGGGGCATCTGGGTGGCTCAGTTGATTGTCTGCCTTCAGCACAGGTCATGATCCCGGGGATCCTGGGCTAGAGCCCCAAGTCAGGCTCCCTGCTCAGTGGGGAGTCTGCTTCTCCCTCTCCCTTTGCCCCTCCCCCCCACTCATGCCCTGTCTCTCAAATAAATATATAAAATCTTAATAAAAACCCAGAATATATATCTCATTCAATCAGTTTGAAAACACTAGTAAAAGAAAAGCTGACTAACTCCAAGTGAATTCTGGAATCTACTTAATTTCCTGAATTCTTCCTCAAGTATTCCAAATATCTTACCAATACTGTCCACATAACAGAACCACTGAAAGCTACAAACTGAAGAAAGACTTAGGGAGCAGTAACCCAAACACAAAATCCAAAATAGTTCTTACTTTACAGCAAGAATTCAAAAGCCTGTTGATGTGTCGACTGATAACACATGAGAGGGATGTAAATCCCTCCTGCCCCTGAACAACTTTAGAGCAACTGCTGAACACAACTCAGGCTGGACTGGGATCACAGGCAAAGAGTATCAAGATTTTGTTAGCAATGTATGCTTGAGGTAAAGGGGCAAATAGGTGAAGAGATCAAGCTGGCAAGCTGTATATCTGCTGATCCAAGTCAAATTCAATTAAGCAAAAAGAGAAAGGTTCCCTATTCCAACAAACTCACCCCTCTTTCTGCCCAGAGTAAGGAAGCAGTGGTGAAGCAGAGCCAATGCACCTGGACAATTTCATAGGAATTTACTACCCAAAATAATTACGTACCATGTGCCCTTAGAAGATCGATTCAGTCCAGAGAACCAAGGGATGTTTGTTTAGGGAAGTAGAAACAGACGCCAGGGGCATAAATAAGTGATTAAAATGGAGAACATTAAACTCTGAATACTACGGTTTTATAGAACTGGAAGCACACTGTGTGAAATAAAAAAAAAAAACAGGCTCCAACTAGAGGATTTAAGATAGACACAGGGAGGCTTAAGGGAAGTCTGGTGGGGGGGGATACCTAGCTGGCTCAGTTGGAGAAGCATGCAACTCATATCTCAGGGCCATGAGTCCAAGCCTCACATTGGGCATGGAGCCTACTTTTAAATAAATAAATAAATAAATAAAATTTAAAATTAAAAACATTTTTTAAAGGCGGGGAGGGGCAACTGGCCAGCTCAGTCAGTAGAGCACGTGACTCTTGATTTCAGGGTCATGAGTTCGACCCCCATGCTGGGTGTAGAGATTACTAAAAAAAAAAAAAGAAGAAGAAGAAGAAAGAGAAAAGCCTGTTAATGGAATGCTGATATTCTGCTTATCTGAGATGTTATGTCCCAAGGAAGGTCCTTTCTTTCTCTCAGGGGAGAAAAAGTCCGTCCCTCTTACAGAAGAGTAAAATAAAAAAGCACTGTGTCAGTCATAGGAAAAGGACCTGATCCAGTAAACTTAGGGCTCTCGAGTAGAAAGAAAAAGCAGCCAGTCAGATTCCTGATTAGGGAATCTGGGACAGCTCCGATGAGTAATGGTTACACTGTTTATTGAGTCTGGGGTGTAAAAGGAGCTGGTGCAGGCAGGAAGCATTCGCCTCACTTCCAGGCAGACAGAATCAATCTGAAAATCCCTGGCTAAAATAAAGAAGAACATGAACAAGAAATTCATCTGTCACCATACCAGTAGCACACCAGGTTATGTGTTTCATGGGTCCATGGGGGACAAAAAAGATTTTTTAAGTACTCCGGAGAAAGAGAGATTGCACTTAATTAAAATAGTTATCAAGGGGGAGGGGAAAAACAAAAAAAGAAAATAGTTATCAAAGCAAACCAGTCCATCATCCTTTGTATCTTATGAGAAACTACCTCCAATATATATTTAAAAGACAGGACTCACACACAGTATTGGAAACACTGCTTGTGGATGTGAGGGTGATCTGGCTGCGACATCTGTCACCCCATTGATCGCCAGAGTTGATTCGGCTGATCTGGCTGGCTAGGTGGGTGTCCCCTTCCTCCCTCACCGCTCCATGTGCGTCCCGCCCGAAGCTGCGCGATCGGTCGAAGAGGATGACCTTCCCCGATAGAGGAGGACCGTTCTTCGGTCAAGGGTATATGAGTAGCTGCGCTCCCCTGCTAGAACCTCCAAACAAGCTCTCAAGGAAACACTGCTTGTTTCTTTGTATATAATACTACTGAACCACCAAAAGCAGGCACACATTATTTTCATGTGAGAGGAGTAAAATCTGCTGCTTTCTCCAGGATTGCTTTTTTTCACCCAGTTCTGCTTGCAGCCAATTATACACTCCACTTCTAAAACCAATGGTCAAAATTTATAAGCCAATAGGTTTACAAGGGCAGCTTACTGGACCACAGTCTTAGAAGCTGCAGCTTCCTTAGTATCACACTCCAGCTAACAGTAAAAACTGTCACTAATTTAAATACAATCTGTATCCTGTATCTCAGCCTTCAGCTTCCCCTTCCCATTTTTCCTTTTGTCTTCTCCACACTGCCTCTCTCCTACCTCACAACCAGAATTTCTTCATTAAACCATACTTTCCATTTGGCTATAAATGTTTGTATGAATTATAATTAACCTTGCTAGATACCAATGGAATTATTTTTTCCAAGTCTGAATGAAAGTAGAAGGAAAATTATACCAAATTTAATATGAATACTCAGAGCTGTTCCAGAAAGACATTTTCATATAAAATGACAAAAAAAAAATACATTTAAATCTAAAATAATATCAACCTGTAAAGTTGTAACCAACTATATGTTTAAATGAATTCTTAAAGTTTAAATAACTTCTTAGGTTTTTTAATTAAAGAAGAAAATTACTTACTCCAGAAGAATATTATTCATATCCTGTGTAAAGAACTTTTTCCTTCCTTCTTCATCAAAAAGTTTGGCAGCCTAGAGAAACATAAGATTGTCAATATGGCTTTCTTTCTTTCTTTTTTTTTTTTTTTAAAGATTTATTTGACAGAGAGAGATAGCGAGAGAAGGAACACAAGCAGGGGGAGTGGGAGAGGGAGAAGCAGGCTTCCCGCAGCGCAGGGAGCCCGATGTGGGGCTCGATCCCAGAACCCCGGGATCATGACCTGAGCCGAAGGCAGACGCTTAACAACTGAGCCACCCAGGCACCCCTCTTTCTGTTTTTTTTAAAGATGTTATTTATTTGACGGAGAGAACGCGCGCGCGTGCACACACACACAAGCAGGGGGAGAGGCAGGCAGACGGAAAGGGAGAAGCAGGCTCCCCACTGAGCAGAGAGCCCGCCATGGGGCTCATCCCAACACCCTGGGACCATGACCTGAGCCGAAGGCAGACGCTTAATGACTGAGCCACCCAGGGGTCCTGTCAATATGCTTTCAATAAACACATTGTTTCCATATCTATTTACTAAAGAATAAGCTTCTTGAGGGTGGGGCTACTGTGATTTACATTACTTTGTATCCTCCATAACCAGCTTAGCCCCTGGCATGAGTAGGCAATTACAGAGTGTTGAAACAAATTTAGCATATATACCATTGTTTCCTATTATCTCTGTATTTAATTTTTCTTAATCCTGCTAAATTAACAAAATTATACGTACGAGACTTTTTAGTGCTTTGTGTATCTTGTGGACTTTGACTATCCATGGGTTTATTAATTATTGCTGTGATCTCCAAGATAAGCGGATATCTCACTTTCTATCGACAGTGTCTACAAAGTATCTGTCTGATATTCTATATGTTATACTCATTACCATGTTTAATCCTCATAACAGCCAATGACATTGGTATGACAGCCCCCACTATACAAACAAGGAAGCTTAAATCTGTCAGAGGTTACATGACATGCTCCCACTACTACTAATAAGTGGTGGATTCAGGACTCAGACCACAAGCTTTCTGACTTCAACTGCGCAACACTGCCACCCTGTACCAAGATACCTGCTTACTGCAGCCAGCCTAGGTTCCACCTAATTACTAACAACAAAAAAAACGTAGGCGAGGTTATTAACAAGCGATAAGCAAAAATTCATGCAATGAGCTTAATTTCATCATTATGTTTGTCACCTCGACCAGGTGACCAGAAATCAAGTATACCAGCACACCCTACCATAAGCAAAATTTACTGGGAAAATCACAAACAATGTAGTTGCGGTCCATGAGATATAAAACATCAAGAAGACTGATCTAATCATCTGAGCAAGCCATATGCTGACTCTGTCAATCCACCAAGTTATTTGACAACTGTACATGCAATAAATAGAAGAAAATTGCTAAGATGGGCCTCAGTACTTCTCAGAAAGAATGAAACTGGGTATGTGCAGGGGGTGGAAATATATGAAAGGCATAAGGAAAACTAAACTTCAAGAAATGAATCAAAAAAAGTCAAGAGGTTGAACAGTGGAAGAATATTACAAAGGAAGAAAAGAGTCACAAGAAGCAATTCCTTATCACACAGACATGAGCATTTAAGCCAAGGATGACTTCTTACCTCCCAAAGAAAAAATACCATCTCATATTTCAAAAGAAAACATATAGCGAAGTCATAGATACCAGTAAGTGAAATCAAACTTCTCACTGATGATTTCCTACTAAGGAGTTAGGGAGCGCCTGTATTAAACCTGGCAGGGCTATTACAGAGAGAGAGAGAGAGAACAGTTTTTGGTATATAAGATATGACAAAGATTTTACAAGATGGAATACACTCATTACTAACCAATTTTATTAAGTGAAACTGAATGGCACATAACACAGCAGACAGAGTGCCTACTATGGAGCTCCATGGTCCTGCCTTTAAATGCTGACTTTGAATCATGGCTCAGCCATTTAAAAATTACATGGCCTTGGGCAAATCACTTAACCTGTTGAACCTTAGTTTCCTCATCTATTAAATGGACGAATACTACCTACCTCACTTGATTGTTGGAGGATTAGACTACACAGTAGGTAAAGTACACTAAACCCAATCAGGGTGCTGTCTCCTGATTGGTAAATGCTATGTGAGACACAGCAGCACTGTACTAAATACAGAGTACAGGTTTCTGCTAAATAAACAAGAGCTATTATTTTTATTTTATTTTTTTAAAGATTTTATTTATTCATTTGAGAGAGAGAGACAGAGAGAGCACAAGCAGGGGAAGAGGCAGAGGGAGAGGGAGAGGAAGGCTCCCTGTTGAGCTGGGAGTCCGACATGGGGCGCGATCCCAGGACCTGGAGATCGTGAACTGAGCCAAAGGCAAAGGCTTAACCATCTGAACCACCCAGGCACCCCAAGAGCTATTATTATTAATAATACCTTGCAAATCAGGGCGCCTGGGTGGCTCAGTTGGTTAAGTGACTGCCTTCGGCTCAGGTCATGATCCTGGAGTCCCAAGATCAAGTTCCGAATCAGGCTCCCTGCTGAGCAGGGAGTTTGCTTCTCCCTCTGCCTCCCCCCTCTCATGTGCGCTCTCTCTCTCTCTCATTCTCTCTCTCTCAAATAAGTAAATCTTAAAAAAAAAAAGTATCTTGCAAAATGTGGGTCACATCACTAACACGTTTTAAAACCTAGAAGAAACTAAAGGTTTTAGGGATAGGCAACATGGGATAGCAAAAGGCACATACATACTTTGGAGTCAGGTGAACCCTTGTGGCTAAATTCTGGCTCCACCACTTACTAGTTGCATGGACCTGACCAAGCTATTTAACCTACCTCAAGTTTCTTAACCATAAAAAGGAAATAATACCTGTATTTCCTACACAGAGTAGCTGAGAAGATTAAATAAAAAACCTACTTATTACTGAGACTACAGATTGTATACTTTTCAAAAAATAAGCACAGAAAATAGCAAAAGAATGAAAACAAAAGAGATGAGTAAGAGAACAGGATAAAAAAGAAACTGACAAAGATCAACTATATAATTATAACAACTGTAAAAAGATAAAATCATTTGTTAAAAGAGAAAAGACTCAGATGAGGTCAATAAAGAAATTACATGCTGTCTGTAAGAAAAAGAGCTAAAGGGACGCCTGGGTGGCTCAGCCATTAAGCGTTTGCCTTTGGCTCAGGTCATGATCCCAGGGTCCTGGGATCGAGCCCCACATCGGGCTCCCTGCTCGGCGGGAAGCCTGCTTCTCCCTCTCCCACTCCCCCTGCTTGTGTGCCCTCTCTCACTGTGTCTCTCTCTGTCAAATAAATTTAAAAAAAAAAAAGCTAAAATAAAGAAAATCAAAGAGGTTGAAGGTAAATGATGAGAAAAGCTATATGTAAAAATAAAGAGACAGGAGACAGTAAGTCAGACAAAACTGAATTCAAGGTAAAAGGCAGTAATAGCACAAAAAGTCACCTTCAAATGATAATCATCACAAAGATCAAGACTTTTATAGGTCAAACAACACATCATGATAATGCAAAAACGATGGTAAACACAATTTATAACCTAAGAAATACTGGCAATGAGATATTTTAACAGACTTTGCTAAGTTCTGGACTAATGAAGTACATTAAAATAAGTAAAAATACAGGGGAACTAAAATTAAGTCACTTCAGAAGAAATGCTAAAGAATAAAAAACAGAATTGCTAAACCAAATCTGTGGGCCAGTTACCAGAAAAATTAAATAAATCTAAATATTCCTGTAATCAGATATTTAAATTTTAGGAAAAGTTATGAGAAATAAATATAAAGATGATTAGTAAATTTTAAAATGTGACTTAAGTTGGGTTACTATAATCCCAGGAGAAAGAAGAAAGGTGAATAGTCCATACATTACCACCTCATTAATTATTTTTTATAATACTATACCATTTGCAAATGCATGGATTAAGATCTAGAAAAATAAATAATTTAATAGTGGTTCTCTGCTGGGAGTGGGGAATGTCAGATTATGGGGGATCTTTCCCTACGTATGATAATACATTTTGTATTGTGCATTTCACTTTTGTAGTCAGGAAAAAAATTAGGACTAAAATATGGTGTGGGTTCAAATAAACACATTAAAGTAATCGGGCACCTAGGTGGCTCAGTTGGTTAAGTGACTGCCTTCAGCTCAAGTCATGATCCTGGAGTCCCAGGATCGAGTCCCACATCCAGCTCCCTGCTCAGCTGGGAGTCTGCTTCTCCCTCTGACCCTCCCCCCTCTCATGCTCTCTCTCTCTCAAATAAATCTTTAAAAAAATAAAATAATCAAAATAATCAGAAAGGGCATTTTAAGCTAGGTTTGGCGAGGGGGGAGGGGCAGAGGGAAAGGGAAAAGCAGACTCCCTGCTGAGCAGGGAGCCTGACCTGGGGCTGGATCCCAGGACCCTGAGATCATGACCTGAGCCAAAGGTAGATGCTTAACCACTGAGCCACCCAGGCGCCCACTGGCATATTATTTTAAGTCAAAATACTATCTCCCTGAGATTAAATGGGTAAGTGTGATGACATTTATCTGGATTTGCAGCTAGTTAAACAAAGATTATGAAGCCAAGTCAATCTAGAGAGGTATCTAATGTGATGTGCTAAAGCTCAGCTCTCAAGTTTGTCCTAATAGGAACACAGTGCATGCTTACTAAATGTGATTAGCTGGAAAGGATTAGCTGGAAAAATCAATTATAAAAGAACTAGATGTCAATATAGTTTGGACCAAGTTCAGGTATACTTTTGAAATGTTACTATTTGCTCCTATCTTCCCTCTATTGTCTTTACACGACTTTTTTTTTACAATAAAAATTGTATTTATGAAACCTATGCTGAAAAATACTTATAAGATGAGGGGCACCTGGGTGGCTCAGTCGTTTAAGTGTCCGACTCCATTTCAGCTCAGGTCATGATCCCAAGGTATTGGGATCAAGACCCACTTCAGGCTCCGCATTCAGTGGGGAATCTGCTTGAGGATTCTCTCCCTCTTCCTCTGCCCCTTCCGCCTCATGCTCGCTTGTGTAAGCATCCTCTCACTCTTTCTAAAATAAATAAATCTTTTTTTTTTAAAGT